GCACCCCTGACGAACAAACGCATGGCAAGGACATGCCTCCACCATGGAGCCTTCTGTGGTCACACCAGCCCAAGCCAGACCCCAGCTCTGTTACTGCTGTGTGGGTGGCCTGAAGAACGTCACCGAGCACGCTGAGCCTCAGTTCTGGGTCAGTGAAATGGGGCCTGAAAGTGCCTCCACCATGGAGCCCTCTGTGGTCACACCAGCCCAAGCCGGACCCCAGCTCTGTCACTGCTGGCTGGGTGGCCTGGAGAACGTCACCGAGCACGCTGAGCTTCAGTTCTGGGTCAGTGAAATGGGGCCTGAAACACTCGTCCCGGCTTCATCGCCCTGTGTGGGGGTGTGCGCAGGAACATACACAAGCAAAGGGCCGGCCACCCACCGCTCGCGCCGGCGGGATGTGGGCCAGGCAGTGTGCCGGGACCCGACTCCCCAGGCCCTGCCCACCGTGAGGGCTCGGGACCGTCCTCCTTCCCCTGTAGCCTCTCTGAGACGGTGCCCCATTCAGTGTGAAAGCGTGGGAGGTCACATCGACATATCTTGGAAAAGAAGGGAGGGGGCCGTTAAGGGGTCCAGTCCTCGATGGCCACTCAGTTCCACACTGTGGTCCCCATAAAAGACACAGAGGGTTCGGAGCAGGAGCAGCCAGCCAGGCTGCAGGCAGCAGGCTGCGGGCACTGGAGGGAAGAGGACCACAGACCTCCCCGACAATGAGGGTCAGGCCCTTCGGAAAGGACCAGGCTGGTGGCAGGCTGCTGGGGCTCTGTACACCCACCCCACCTCTCGGAGAAAGGGCACACGCCATCTCCATCAGCACCATGGAGGAGGGACGGGGGCAGGAGACACTGGGAGGACCCTTGATGTCCAGGCCTCCTCATAGACTCCCATGTGGGACCAAGAGCCACCAGCGAGCCAGCCAAGGGATCATCGGGTACTTTGGGACCTGACCAGTTGAAGAGACCCACCTAGGGACATGGCCCAACAACAGGGCTCTCTGGGCAGCTTGCAGGGCCGTGGGCCTCACAGGGCTGTGACAGAGGAGGGAAGAGGCACCCTTTGCTGAGAACCTGCCATGCACCAGGCACTCCATCAGGCGCCTCTGCACACGTTACCCACCACGCCACTCAACAGCCAGGGGTGCAGCCACCAGGCCGGGGTCTGTGTGAAACATGACCAGGACGGCTGTGGGCTGAACCTGCTCCACAGGGGTGCTGAGGGGCCTGGCTGACTCACGACGCAGGTGCAGGCAACACTCGGGCACTGGCAGAGCTGTCCTGCGTCCCCTGAGGCCACGGGGCCTAACTCACCAGTGCAGCTTTGTTAGAGAGGTTACAGGCTGAAACAGGAGCACCAGAAATAATTAATCTGTGAGCAAGTTTTATCTAAGTGTTGATTCATGGCTGCCCTATAAGCCAACAGCCTGTCAGAACTATAAATTAACCAGACAAAGTATTGCCGGCCCTCCATATTTCAGGCTGGGTATTGACATTTTAGAATCCACAGATTCTTAACCGTATTGATTGAGGACGCCAGGATAAATGGCCTTGGCGCCAAATCCCCATTAACGACAGTGGGCGCCGGGCCTAATTCCCAACACTGCGGAGAACGCCCTGCTGCCTCTCCTGGCAGGGACCTCTGATTAGATTGGAATGAAAAAGCCAAATGACCAAGGCTGGAAACAGGCAGACCAAGGAAAAGGGCGACTGGGCCCGGTGAAGAGAAAGGACAGGCCAGTCGAAGCGGGACCACGCCCGGGGCTGCACGGTCCACCCAGTCCAGGGCAGCGCGGAGACGAGGTGGGAGATGTCACTGCCCGGGGTGGGGCTGCCCAGCACGGCCAGGCCGACTCAGCTCGGGCACGCATTGAGCAGCCGCTCCCAGCCAGCCCCGGCTTGGGGTGGAGACGAGCGGGCCAGGGCAGCCGTGCCCTCCGAGCTCCCACAGCACAAGCCCACCAGGCAGCTCCTGCTCCTTCCCCTGCTGTGGCAGTCCAACCCACAGGGCACGGCCCTCCTGGACCGTCTGAAAACCTCAGAACCCCCCCCCCCCCCCATCACGACACTACGCACGCCCACACGCAACGGCAAATGTCTGTCTAATCTCAGGAGACAGAGACAGGCGGCCACCACCAATCCATCGCGCTATATCGCATGAGCTTGCCGTGAGCAGCCCGCCGGCATCGCCCACGTCTGGAAAGTGCTAGGCGGGTGTGGGGTCCTCAGGGGCCAGCCTGTGGGCAGTGGGGCACCCACTCGTGCTCGTGAGGTCACAGCTAGGAGCGCCTCTCCTGCACTCCCCAGACTCATCTCCCAGGGCCCTGCACCCCGCACAGAACACTGCTCTGTTTCCACGTAGACCACATGGTGTCCTGTTCCTGAGGAGAACCTACCCTTCCACCCTTCCACACCTCCACCACCCTCGTTCTCTGACCACCTAATCCCCGGTTCAGCTTGGGTCCCACTTCCTCCAGGAAGTCTTCCTTGATTTTCCAAGCTACATGTCCCTATATTTGCTGTTGCTTGCTCCATCACTGCACTGGCCACCCCAGCAGACCTGTGCCTCTCCAGGGTGGGTGCTGGGGCTTGCCGGCTCTGTATCCCACACAGAGCACGGTGCACGGGTCTCACAGTCAACAAGGGAGCATTCGGGCAGCAGCTCGGGGCTGGCAGGCCTGGGCGCCCTGGTTCTGCCGCCGACGGCTTGTGCCCCTGGGCCGGTGTGTGAAAGGCAATTTATGTGGCACCTGTCCCCCAGGCAAGCGTGACCTATATGCAACGCCGTAGGGAAGGACGCCCAGCGACCGTGGGCGACAACTCGGCCACCACCACTGTCAAGCGCCAAACTCCCTTGGCCTCGGGCACCTCGCAGTGGGTCGAGAAGATCAGCAAGACCACAGCCGGCCAGAAAAATGCCACGTGAGACGCACTTGTCCCTGTGTGAGGCGCAGACGCAGCATCGGATCTCACCGGGCCACGCATCGCCGGGCAGCACTGAGCCAGGTACTCGGCCCCGCTGAGCCTGGGTCTCTTCACCTGGAAGGTGACAGCAACTGCTGCTGGCGACTGGTGAGGATCAGGCAGGTCACATGCATGGCCTGTGGCATGGTCCCAGGCCCCAGGGGACCCCTACTGAGCATGTGCAGGCTCTGAGGGCTGTGAGGCTGCCCCTTAGTGGCCCACCGCTCTGTGCCCCCTGGAGCTGCTGGGATGAGCCCCGGGGTTGGATTGGAGATACCCTCTCCTCCTGCCAGGCCCTGGAGCGTCGCCCAAAGCCACCACTATGGGTCAGCCACGCTGCTGTGGGTTAGGCAGTTCGGAGGCCAACCAGCAGGCTCCAGGGAAGCCCACGGGCTGTGTAAACTCAGCTTCTCCTCCTGCCCCCGACTGTGAAGTGACTAGGAAGGAGCCCCAGGGAGGGGAAGGCACAGAGGTGCTGAGAGCAGCTGGGAGGTACAGGTTTGAATCCCAGCTCCACACTCACGCCACCTGGTCTGTGCTGACCCGTGAGCCCTGGCCTGGCCCTGCCTGGGGCTGCGCGATGGTGGTGGGGTCCTGTTACTCAGGACGCTCAGCCCAGGAGGGCTCCTTTCACTGCCCTCGCTCTCCTGACCTGCTTGTCACAAGTCCCTTAAGACCCCGCACAGTCCACCTCCCCGGGGCCTTCTCAGTGAGGGCACGAACGCAGAACTCCTCTGAAGACTTTCCTTATGCGCTGGAATCATCCTTGCAACTGCCAACAATAGGGAATTGACAGGTATGCTAAGCTGATTCCAACCAGAGGACGCAGCGATAAAATTAAATCCATTTCAGTACAAATCACACGTCAGAAGTTGATTAAAAAGCCACCTCTGTATCCAGCCTCACAGCTTGGGCCCAAACAGGCCTGGGGCTCTCTGCCCCAGCCGAAGCTCACCTTGCGCTCCGTGGGCGGTTACAGTTCCCACGGGCCAATGGCGTGGAAACCACGTGTGTCCGTGCCTGTCCTGAGGGCCCTCTCCCCCTGCCCAGGACCGCATGGCCTTGTGGCGGCGGACCAGTGGAGAGCCCCCACAGAGAGCTGCCAGCTCACCTCACGGCCACCGCTCAGGCACACGCACCTGTTTCCAGGTCTGTCAGGTGCAGGGCAAAGTCGAAGCCGCCGCTTGCGCTGGCCGCACGGAGACCACCGTGCAGCCCGCACCGCCTCGCTGTGCAGGAAGTAGGTCTGTAAGCAGCACCCCGAGTCCACGGCGTTCCAGACCTAGGAGCAAACACAGACACAGCACACGTCAGAGGCCTGATGGCCAGGCTCAGCCTCTGTGGGAGAAGAGGGTCTCACGGCAGAAGCCCTGCCCGTATTTATCATGAAACATATTTGAGGGGCCAGCAGTTTGCGTAATGGCTATGTCGTTGGAGGCCCGGACCCGGTGGCTTAAAACTCACGCCGGGTGCGTGTGCGTGCATGCCCAAGATCCCGAGAGGAGAATGGAGGAGAAGGGATTGCGGCGTGGCCATCCCCCCTGGGGGGTGATTTCTCGCTTTCTGTCTCTGTCTCTGTCTGTCTGGCGAGCGCACCTGCCATATAGCAAAAACCTCTTCCCCCCCCCCCCCAAAATAAAAAGATTTGAATGGCTAACTCTTCCTTTCAGAAACGTAAAGGCTTGGGGGTCAGTAAGCTGGGGGAGCTTTTCCCAAAACCTTTTCTAGGGTTAAAACCAGCAATTATGGGCCAGTCGATGGTGTGGTGGGTCCCACATAGCTGACTATGTGGTTTGAGTCCCGAACGTGGTGGCTTGAAAAACGCTCCAGGCATGTGTGCATTCCCAAAATCCCAACAGGAGAATGGAGGAGATGGAATTGCAGCAGGGTCATCCCCCAAGGGGTGATTTCTCTTTCTGCATCTCTCCACAAGTGCATGTATCCTATAGCAAAATTTAAAAAAAAAAAAAAAAGGGAGCGTTTGCTGCCCCTCAGTGAGGCGCCCAGCCCCTCACACCTGCCTCCCACCTGCCGCCCAGGGACTCCTGCCCACACCAGACTAACCCTCACCGGCACCTGTCCTACAGAGAACACCGCAGAGGGCCAGCCTATGTTCAGGTGGTGCTTTAAGACTAGGAGCCTAGAAGAAGACTGCCGCCTGCTTGACAACCAGGAGAGCAAACGTCCAGCTTGGGGCAGCTGCCTGCTTTTCCGAGGGAGAAGATCCTGCCCAGCACTGTCGCCCGGCTCCCCTCGGGGCAGGGGGCTCGAGGAGGAAGGGATGTGTGTGCGCAGTGACTGAACGATGACCGAAGACCCCACGCACGGGCCGCACGTCCAGTGCCAGTGGGACATCATGTGAGGGGCCAGTCAGCTCTCACCAGCTCTCCCAGCAAACCCACGGCCACTGGGCGGCCTGGAAAAAGGCCGATGAGGCAGCCTGGGCCTGGCACGCACAGGCACTCAGCAGTTCGAGTCCCTGACCCTCTAGAATGAGGGGAATCTCTCACCTGCCACCCAGCTGGCTCAGAGAACTGACCTCGAGAAGCAGGAACAGCACACAGCCAGCAGGTGGGAGGCAGAGATAAGCACTGCCCACCCGACACAGCTTCTCACTGGTCACCTCTTGGGCCTCAGCATCCTCCTCCATGAAGTGGGGATGAGAAGAGGACGGCCCCAGGTGGTCCGAGGCTAAGGTGGGGATGACTGTATCGCGCAAAGTACCATGGCTGGTGCAGAACCAAGGCCGTGGCACTACTGGACACGCTGCCTGGGGCCTGTGGCAGGCAGGCCTCTAACGGCGCAGCAGCCCCTACCTCCTTTCAACTACAACCAGGGCTCCATCTCCTGTAACAGAACAACCCGCCCAGCACACCAAGCACTCCCACACACCGGACACGAGGGACAACCCCCCACTGCCCAGCCCCACAGGCTCTCTCAGCGCAAAGGGTCAGAGCAGCGAGGACGCGGTTCTCAGGAGGACGGCGATGCCGAAGTTAAAAGCAGAGGTCGGGGCAGCCGTCAAAGAATGTCAGGAGAGCGCAGTTCCTGTCTCTCGTACTAAGGGTCAATAGCTGGGTCTCAGACTGAGAAATCAAGACACAGAAGTGTTTGCACTTAGAAAAATGGACAGAAACAACAGGAGACATGGCCAGGAGACTTCAGAGAGGGGTGGCAATTCACCAAGGGGGAGTAGAGTGCAGGCAATTGGCTGTATTTTCAAAACTCCATTCAAGTATGACTTTAATAGAAAAAAATAAAATGAATGAACCAGATCAACAGTTAGCAAGGTTAAACAGCAAACACCTGACACTGAGCAGAAAGGCACGCTGCACATGCAAAGCACGATGCCCTTAAGATTTTTAATGTCTTAAAGGATGATTTTATTCCATTTTATTTATTTATTTATTTGTTTATTTTAATTTGACTAGAGAGGGACAGAGTGAGAGAGAGAAAGAGAGAGAGAAAAAGTGAGAAGGTAAGCAGCAGGTACGGAACTTGAACCGCAGTCAGCCATGTGGGAGCCCAGCCCCCTTTACCACCACACCACCTGCCAGCCCCAATGCCATCAATTTTAAAAAATTATTTTATTTAACTTTATTTATGTGTTTAGTTTGACCAGAGAGGGACAAGGTGAGGGGGCAGGAAAGGGGAGTGAGAAACCAAGCTGCCAGGTCCAGTACTTGAACTGTGGTCTGCCATGTAGGAGTCTAGCACCCTTAGCTACCATGCCATCTGCTGGCCTCAATGCCATCAATTTTAAAAAATTATTTTATTTAACTTTATTTATGTGTTTAGTTTGACCAGAGAGGGACAAGGTGAGGGGGCAGGAAAGGGGAGTGAGAAACCAAGCTGCCAGGTCCAGTACTTGAACTGTGGTCAGCCATGTGGAGTCCAGTGCCCTTAACCACCATGCCACCTGCCAGCCCCAATGCCATCAATTTTTAGAAACACAACAAGTACCACTGCACACCCATTAGGATAACGTCGATCAAAAATACAGGAAATTGCAAGTGTTGGCAAAGGTGCAGATACCAGAACCCTGGTGCACTGTAGGCAGGAGGGAGGCTCCTCAGGAAATTAAACATAGAACTAATTACCACGCGCCAGCAATTCTCTTTCTGGGTATATACCCAAACGATTGAAAACAGCGTCCAAAGAGATCTCGCAAGCCAATGTTCACAGCAGCATTGTTTTTAACAGCCCAAAGATGGAAACAACCCAGGTGTCTGGATGGATGAGTGGAAAAAGACACTGTGGTGTGTCCACACAGTGGCCGGTATTTGGTCTTCACAGGGAAGACAGTCTTGACAATGCTACGACGTGGATGAACTGGAGACTGTGCTAGGTGAAATGCCCAGGTGCGAGAGGACGGAACTAGGTGACGCCACTTATGTGGGGTGGCCTGTGCAGTTCGAGGTCACTGAGATGGGCCACCAGGAGCTGTGGGTAAAGGGCAGAGCCTGTTTCCCATGGCAAAAGGAGCTCTGGAGGTAGACAATGGCTGCACACTTGTGGGAAGCTGCACACCAGCGAGTCTGCCGAGGTTTCTCAGAGAGCAAACAATTACCATGATTGGTTCCCTTCCAAAAACCTGACCTTCGAAACCTTGCTCTGATTGGCCACTAGAATCCCTCAAATTTGCATATCTGGCACCTCATGATTGGTCCAAAAGCAACCAATCATAACCCACCGTTAACAA